GATAGCAGAGAAAGGAGGATCTCCCCATCATTCCTCCTCGTTTTGCTCTTGGCCAGGGGTTCCCTCCCACCCTCATATGGTGTCTCCTAGACTCATGTACCGTAAAAGTGATGGGCTGGAAGGATCCCCAAGGGTGGTCTGGTCTGAATTTGAAGCTGGATGAAAACAGGAGGTGAAAATATAAAATTCTAGATCCTGTGTTCAATCCCAATATCAAATTCAGACCTGAGTTCAATCCCAATAGGCTCAAGGTAGCCGTTTCAGTGTTGACCCAACCTTTTGTTCTTCTGAGGTCGATAAATTGAGTATCCTGGGAGGGGGCCAGTGTGTAGCCTGCAGGATTAAATTATAGACCACAGAGAGATTGCTTTAAGCCCTGTGGGGTGGTGTAGAAGCAGTACACTTTGCTTTGTTAAATTGTGCTCACCTGGAGAAAATCTGAGCCTTCAGGGCCTTGACTAAGCCAAGTTCAGGTCTAGTTTGCTGTTAGAAAAGGAAGATACCCCAGTGCTTCCTGGGAGCTCAGATGAGACATCCCTATTCCACTTACATGCTTAGTCCTTCTTGTAAGGATTGTCTCCAACGCATTTTTGGTATCACCTGGCAGGACAAAATTCCAAATAGAGCAGTCCTAGAACGAGCTGGAATTTTTAGCATGTATACATTACTGAAACAGCGACATCTACGTTGGCTTGGGCATGTTGTGAGAATGGCTGATGGTCGGATTCCAAAAGATCTCCTGTATGGAGAATTAGTGCAGGGAAATTGACCCAGAGGGAGACCACAGCTGCGGTACAAGGATATCTGCAAGCGGGATCTGAAGGCCTTAGGAATGGACCTCAACAGATGGGAAACCCTGACCTCTGAGCGTTCAGCCTGGAGGCAGGCGGTGCAGCACGGCCTCTCCCAATTTGAAGAGACCCTTGTCCAGCAGGCTGAGGAGAAGAGGCAGTCCCGGAAGCAGCCAAATCAGGGAACTGGACAGAGGACTGATTGTACTTGTCTTCAGTGTGGAAGGGATTGTCACTCTCGAATTGGCCTTCTCAGCTACACTAGGTGCTGTTCCAAGACCCCCATTCAGAGCCCATTGCCACAGTCGCTCGAGACTGAAGGATGCCTAACTGAACTGAAGGATTCTGGCCATTGTTAAATTGGGCATAGGACAAGAAATGGTAGTTTGGAGGACTGTATATTTTACATTCCTCAGAGCAGGGGCATAACTGTCTCCTATATCTTTCCATAACCCACATGTTTAGAGTTTCGTAAAAGCTCGCCACATAATAAATATTGTAACTTTGCATGAGCGAAGATGAAGTAAAGGTCTCCCCCCGCCCCCCGCCGGCAGTGTCTGCTTCCATTTACAGAAGTGAATGGGTTTGACAGCATTTGAAGTCCTGTGATTTCGGAACCCCTTTGAAATGCACGGGCGTTTTGATCCTTCAGGAGCCCAAATTAAAGAACACATTTGTATCCAAGCTGAGTTCTCCAGCTGGTTTC